TACCAATATTTGTCTCTTTTCTATCTTTCATAATCCCTGTTCTGTCATCCATTTACACAGGCTCGTTAAGTAGGTTGTTGATGGCTCTCCACAACTTCCTATCATTCCTAGCTCTTACCAATATTTGTCTTCTTATTATCCTTCATAATCCCTGTTCTGTCATCCATTTACACAAGCTCATTAAATAGGTTGGTCATGGCTCTCCACAACTTCCTATCATTTGTAGATCTTAGCAATATTTGTCTTCTTACTATCCCTCATAGTCCCTGTTCTGTCATCCATTTACACAAGCTCGTTAGGAAATAGGAGTAGATAGCTTCACCTATCGCCCGGTTCTCACTCTTCTTCTGTCTTTTGAACAGGAGTAGATATTTATCCCTTGTTTCCTGTATAGAATTGGGTTTCTGGTTCCTTTTAAAATCTTTTAATTTCTTTTTCTCTCCTTGTAGCCCCATTGCGTTTTAGTGGCATTATCGCCTTGTTTGGGGTTGAATTGATTAAAGAAAAAGGAGGTTACTTGTTTTCTTTTGTCCGTCTTGCCTTCAATATGCCATCTGAGTGTCAAATTCTCCAAGCTTTCTTTCTACATGAACACTACAGAGTGAAAATTCGATCCCTAGATAACCTTGTCGGAGGCGTGAATGATTCTGTTGTGCTGTGGTGGTGGTGGTGGTGTCCCGATCTGTGCTGTGGACGCCGTGCAGCCTGCCACCGTTGTCTTTAGAATGTGTCCTTCTTGTCAAGCGTTTGAACTAAACGGTCGTCCAGCATATGGCTTACTGGGGAATGAAAGTTTATTTGACAACTTCGAAGCACCACCGACGCATTGCATTCCAAACTGATCATCGACATGGACGTTGTGGTGCAATGGATATCGTCTCGGAATTTGAAATCGGAGAGCCGAGTTCGAATTCCAGTCGGTTTCGTTATATTCACTTTACGCATAAATACCTTTGGGAAAAGTAGGAATCCACCTCTTCTCCTCCAAGCTATGGGTTGAATAGCAGGACAGACTTCGATGGCAACCAGTCTACCGCAGAAAGGAACAACATCTCTTTCTGAAATTATTGCATTTTTACTGGTCACTCTGTACATTGTCTGAACCTTATGGTAGTCACACTCTAAAACTCAGACACAGTGAGTGCACTTGTATGAGTGCTACTATAACACAAGATGTCAAAGACATTTATAAATATATATACAGGGTGCGATGGGTAAATTGTCAACATTTTATATTTTTAATTTCGCGCATTCGCGTTGTTTGTTTTTATTTTAGCGACTGCACAGTATAGTGGGGTCAGTTAAGCACCGTCAATGAGTAAAAGAGCACCATGGCGCAATATACTCCGCCAGAAATTTGGAAATAGCCTCATGTACTGCTTGGCATTCGTTCCAGAAGCTCCATTTCAGAGTGTTTGCGAGTCAATCTGAGAACAGGGCGGAGGATTCGGAAAGCGTTGGACGAGTTTAATGGTAATTACGAAGGTACGGCAACTCGGAAAATATATCTATTAAAATGAAATGTGAGTGTTATTTTCATTTTTTTTTTTTTTTGGTGCCATTGAGACGACAATTTATCCATCGCAACCTGTATATCTGTTAAAATGAGATGTGAGTGTTATTTTCATTTTTGCGTTTTTAGACGACAATTTATCCATCGCTCCCTGTACTATCTCCATGCATACGACACCGAGCACATAATCGGCCTCCAGATTGATGTAATTTTATTTTCTATCACTTTCAATGAGGCTCTGTATTTTGAAAGCCAGTTCAGTATCTCAAGGGGATCTCATATAAAATCCATTGTTAAAGATGTTGGAAAAAATGGTTGGCTCATTCTTTCCAGGAAGTGGTCCCTTGAGCTATGCTTTATCTTTATAAGAGTCTGATTAGATAATATCCCTGAACTAGTCTTTTGAAAAGGGCTACAGGTTTGTCCCTTGTTTCCTGTTTAGGATTGTGCTTCCAGTTTCTTCTAAATTCTACTTTAACACTATACTTCTAACATCTTCACTTAAACTCTGAAATTTTATTTACTATTTACTTCTTTTTTTCCTATCTCAATAGGAGGAAATACGTTCACACCCCTCCCCGGTCTTTTGAACAGGAGTAGAGGTTTATCCCTTGCTCCCACTTTAGGATTGGGTTTCCTGTTCCTTCTAAAGTCTTTTTCATTCTCTGTCACTTTCAGTGGCCCCCTTGCGTCTTGGTGGCATTATTGTTTTGCTTGGGGTAAACTGATTAAAAAAAAAAGATAAAAAAAAAACAACAAAAAATGAAGCATTGCTCAAGCCTTACTTTGTGCGGTCTTGTGGGTGATGACTTCTTTTCTACTCTGCAACCACTTCCCGGCAGATGCAGCCTGTCGCTGTTTTGTCGCTTTTCCTGCTGCAAATGTTCAGATGAGCTCGATTTTTTTGTTAATTCCACCGGGTAGGACACGTCATGCCACTTCCACAGAGTTGAATCATCCTAATTTTCTCCGTGTTTAAATTGTAAGAAAGTTTATTCAGACAGCTTTTCTTCCAAGTATTGCCATTTTGAGAAAAAGACTCCGGCGTAATTGCTTCCCTGAATACTTCAATCTTGACCTTTTCAAGTCGTTATCTTTCCACCCTATCCTCATAATCTTCGCTTCATACGACATTTTTCGCTATCCCCCCGTACATCTCATTCAGCTTTACTATTTCGAATGTAGCCTTCGACTTTGAGTGGCTCTCAAGCCTTGTATAGAGTGAAAGTTATTAAACAATATACGCACTTGTTTCCTTATTTATACCGTGCTAAAATAATTAAAAAAAATAATTTCACCACAAGCAAGTCAATAAACCCACTAAGACGCAAGAAGTTACTGAGAAAAACTATTATTAAGGAGAGAGAAAAATAAAAGAACAAAAATTGAGACGATAGAAGATAACGATTGACATTGCATTTAAATTTTTGAAGATCAAAGTAGACTGGGATGCAAGAAACCGGAAGAGAGTTCCACAAGTGAGAAGTGCGATAGAAGAAACTGTTAGCATAGAACTTACAGTTACATCTAGCCAGTTAAACTGTAAAATGATGAGACCTAGCCGCAAATCTGCTACTGCGTTTAAATTCATAAAGTCTAGGTACCCTAGAGGAAAGTTCACTAGAATAATTATAATGAAAGTATTTATAGAAAAGGCAAAGGGAAGTTATGTTATGGCAGTGTGAAAGTGACTGAAGACGAGGTCAGAACCAATAACATTGCAGATTCTTCTTTAGATTTTATCAAGAATCTCTAAAAAATAGCAGGAGAAAATGACCAGATGCGACAGCAATATTCAAAGTAAGGAAGAATGGTAGACTTATAAATATGTAAGAGGAATTCTGGCGAGAAAAAATTGTTTAGCACGATATAGTGAACCAACTTTCCTAGCTGCAGATTTAGCAATTGATTCTTTTCTCTTCATGTCAGATAAAAACATTAGTCTGAGAAGACTCTCCTGGAGATTAGCATCAGCCATGCTGATGGAAGATAAAAAGAATTCTCTCAGATTACTAAAAGACAGCAATTTAATTTCTGAGGCGTTAAAATTAACAAGTCACTGCTTGCCCCATTTAACAACAGATTGTAGGTCATTTTTTTAGACCAGCTTCCAATTTGACCTTATCGAACCGATTCGTCTTACTGTTAAGACAGGAGTAAATGATTATAGCATCAGCATAGACACCAAATTGAGAAGAGATGACATCAGGAAGATCACTTCTAACAATTACAAACAACGTAGGTCCAAGGATAGCACCCTGCGAAACACCTGCGTTTATGTGAAAAAGACCTTGAAGGGTGGCCAAATAAGTGAAGCGATTGTCTCTTAAGACACCGTGAACCAACTTTCCTAGCAGTAGATCTAGCAATTGATTCAATATAATCTTTCCACTTCATGTCATCAGGAAACGTTAGCCTGGGAAGCTGCATGTCACTTTCCTGGAGGTTAGCATCAGCCAGGCTGATGGCAGGCGGAAAAGAGTCTCTCAGATGATTAATAAAAAGTAGTTTTTTGGAGATATTAAAATTAGCAAGTCATTCCTTGCCCCAGTTAACAGCAGATTTTAGGTCACTTTTAAGGTCAGCTGCCAATTTCACCTTATTGAACTGATCAGACTCACTATTAAGACATGAGCAAATAGTTGCGTCAACCGCAGAGATACTGAGTTAAGAACTGATATCAGGGAGATCGTTGATGAAAAGTAGGTACTAGTAGTTCCAAGGGTAGAGCTCTAGGGGACATCTGCATTTATTTATCTATATAGACTATTTTGGATGCTTTATCTTGGAGTAATGGTTAACGATCTTGTTTAGCTGACATGATTACCATATAAAACAGTTGAATCCTCATAACGTGATAGTTGTGTCAAACTTAGCTGAGCTTCGTAAATATCTGTATTTACTCTTTTATGATTTCATATTTCCTGAGATTGTGACTTTTGTTGTTATGCTGTGGTTGTAGCTACGTGATTCTTCTGCCAAATTTTTACATTCGGTATCGAACAGGTGTTTGCTGACCATTGTTGTTGTTTGGAAGTCAACCGAATCAGTTGCGCCGTCACGTCCGTTTCCATTCCTTGGGACCAATAAACTAATTGGCCCTTCTCTGCCACCCGCTGAAAAACAATCTGTCAGTTTGTCTTCTCACCAGGAGAAAGGTTTTCAACACAACGCACATTATCTGAATTGAATGCCTTTGTTACCCTAACTAGGGAAATTTTACTGACTCAGTCAGTTTATGTGCCATGCGTGATACACGCTTAGGCGATCATGTATCTTTCGATACATGACTGATGAGGTAGATTTTTTCCCGCGGTAGATTGCCATTACTTTCTATAGTAGACCAGTTGCCATCCAAGGCTATAGAACCCCGTCTGTCCTGCTATTTACCCATAGCTGGGAGGAGAAGAAGAGGATACATACCTTTCCCAAGGGTATTAGCACGGAAGTGAATGTAATGGATTTGACTGGAAATAGAAATACACACAGAGAGAGAGAGAGAGAGAGAGAGAGAGAGAGAGAGAGAGTGTGTGTGTGAGAGAGAGAGATAGAGGAGAGAAAGAGAGACAGTGAGACTCCCAATTTGTTTTCGCTTGATCATTCCTAGTAGCTTCCGGCACGCGCAGTCGTTAAGAGGCAAACGTTATCACTGAAAAATCCAAGGAGAAAAACTTTTATTCTCTCTAATTGAAAATTTATCATGTCTAAAAATTCACGTTCGGATAAAAAGCATTCAAGCCCGCTGTATATTTTGATAAACAGTTTTTTTCTATTTTCTTATATTGCCAATTTCTTTTTGCATTTGACTAATGTCCATCTCCGAATCGGTACTTACGATGCTTATACTTAAGTGTAACCGTCCACTGACCCCATCAAACCATTGAAGCCTCTTTCATCCAAGACAATTGTTTCAACTCCCTATCATTTAGTATTTCATTACTGAGATGAGTAATTGTCAGTATTCTTGCTACATGGTGGAAACGTTGTCTCTATAATAACATCGTATATCAGCCAAGATGAGAATAATAATTCGAAATATTACAAGAATATTGACAATTACTCATCTCAAAAATGAAATACTAAAATATGAAAAGCGATACGAAGCCGCCATCATAAACAAATGTACCCCCCCCAGAAAAAAACTCCCAAAACATCTGAGATTGAATATAAAAGGCTCCAAAAACACATCAATGTTCTTCCGGACAGTTCCGTAGTGGATATAGGATGTGGTTGTAAAGGGTGTTTCATTAAGAAGGATTATATATAAGGGTGTTTCAATAAGATGGATCAAAGTCAGCAGTAAATAAATCAGTGTCATTGGTGAAAATTTATTTATTTCTCTATTGGATCATGTTATTTAAGTCATGCCAATTATGCGTGAAAAAAGAAAAAGAAAAAAATTACAGGATGCTTAAACTTGATTCACATTTAAAATCGGTCCAAGTTATTAGAACAACCTTTACTTGTGTTACTGTCATCTACAAGGACATTAGTGTATTTTTGGAGCCTTTTATATTCAGTGTCAGATGGTTTTGCCATTTGGTTATGATGATGGGTTTGTATCGCTTTTTCATAATGAGATGAGTTCAGTCCTTGACTCTGGTAGTGACGCGCTAATTCAACAGGAACGAACAATAAATGATATCACAGGGATAAAATATCACAATAATGAAAAGATATCTCAGCCAGTTAATGGAGACCTGATGATGACCAGAGAGTACATTGTCGAAACGTTTTGCCTATAATAACATCTATATCAACCAAGATGAGTTCGAAATAATACAAGACTATCTCATTTATTTGATTGCTTTTATCTTGGTGGTTCTTTTTATGCATCAGTGTATTTTCTGAACTTTATGGATTGTTCCCTAATTAGGATGGAGACGGTGGGTGTGAACGGGCGCTTCCTTCACGATCTATTCGACTCTAAAGATTAAAATTTTCCTTTCTTTTAATAGTCGTCTTCTAACCATCATTAATCATGTCGACTCTTCATTGTCTTATATAATGAATTTCAGAAATACGATCTATTAAAAAAAAAAATGAACTCGTGGGAGCGGAGTTGTTTGTTAAACGTCAATTTTTTTTTTCTTCTTTCCAACGAGTTGCCTGTTGTAAGATGAATCTATTTTTTTTAAAAATTTCTAACCAAGACTACTTCCAGAGTAAATCCTTGAACATAATGTTACCCGATTCCGTGATCTCAGGAAGCGAACGGTGGACGCGAAAGGGTTAAACTCTTTTGCTGCAAATCATTGGCAATTGAAGACAAGTTAATAAAGAACAAGGGACATGATTCCCACTATGCGTTTCTTTCGAAAATCTATTGGTTATTGATCAAATAGCAGAGATTGATTGGATTTTCTTTAATAACATCGACTTCTGATTCTCGGTAAAAGTGCGTGTGTGTGGAGTCGGGGTCGGGGGGTCGATCAGAAATCTATAATCAATTCTTTTTATTTCCTGGAGTGCGCTGATCGATTCTGAGAACCACGAGCACGTGTTTCGCATGTCATATGAAACCGATTTTATTTTCTTTTACATTAAATCTTTAACCATATCGAGTACATCGATACTGACAACAATACATTTCGAACTTTGACATCCAAGATTTCTCGAGTAATATCACTGAGGGTTTCTGAAATATAAAAAGAAACAAGTTAGAAAATATTTTCTACGTAAGCCTGGATTAATATGGTGAAAACAAAAGTACAATTAGTGATTGTATGCAATTTCAGAACCTGAGAGAAGCTATCTGTTTCTCATCGGCACCAGAAACCCATGTAATCTATATAAATCAAGCGCAGTGTACGTGTGTCCGTCCGTTCGTCTGTTTTCTGACCTCGGTGAATCATAAACAATCTGTCGTAACAGGCAGTAACTACTGTAGTTACGATTAAAAATTAAATAAATAAATGATTTAAAGTTAAATTTAAATACCGAACAGAGTGAAAGGTTAAAAAAAAACAATTCTTTATTAAAGATTAAACTTTAATTTCGCTTTTCATCGCAACTGCAATTGGTATCGTCTAATTAAACCGTAATTAAAATTTAAGAGAGGGGCACGGTACGTTGATCATATGTTTTTGGTTTCTTTTCCTAGCTCGCGTACTGTCCTATTCGAAATATTACATAGCTCGGACTCCCTAATGTTTTTCAAGAGGGACTTTATGTATAGGGATCATGAAGAATGGTAATTTTAAAAGAAAAGAAACATTGCGCGCAAAATGTAAACAAACTATGAAGATCGGTTGCGTATAGGAAGAAAGATTATGCCGAATTAAGGTGGCGAATAAAGATAAAATAGTTTTGTTATTTCTAACTTCTTATGACTTTTACGTACATAGGAACGCTGAAAGTAAAAGGCCTCCACAGGAGCTAACCTAAAGTCTGCCCGAGGTGCGGCTTTGGGGCTAGTAAAATAAAGTTAAAAATCTCTGTGTGTGTCCATCAAAACTCTGACGCATGATTAACTCTATAAAGTGTGTTGTCTGCTCTTGTGCGTAGATATAAAATAGAACTGCGGTATACGAGGGCTGATTAAAAAGTATCGAGACTGTAGTTATGGTAACGGAGCTAAAGTACGCATAGTGAAGTCACTTGACCTTGACTCCTGTCGCGCATACACACTAAGTTATAACGTTCTCGCTTCCGTTGTTTATAGCAGTGATTTGAAGGAAAGTGTGTAGAGTGTGGTCGTCTCACCATACCACAGATAGTCCATCAGTGACCATATCTTGCGGAACAGTTTTTGGCTAAACACAACATTCCTCAGGTCCGGAAACCACCATTTACCCAGATCTCGTCCATTGCGACCTTTAACTGTATTCAAAAATCAAATACCACTTGAAAGGAACAAGATTTCAAGACGACAATAGAAATCCAAGAGAATGCGACGAGGCAGCTGCTCGCTATCCCAAATAAGGAGTTCCAGGAATGTTCATCAGTGGAAACAAGGTTGAATAAAGTGTGTGACTACAGAAGCGGACTATTTCGAAGGAGATTAAATGCCGAATATATGTGTTGTAGTTTTCTTTTATAGCAACATTTCCGATACTTTTTGATCAAACCTCGTACATATAAAAAAATTCAGTTTTATCATTTATATTGAGCGGAATATGTTTTATATTGTAACTAACATAGCGTTCTTGCTTAAAGGAGATAATTTGTATATTCAATATAAAAATTAAAAATGACTGCTATTTGTTATTTATATTATTGGTGATATTTATAATTAAATTATTGTGTTATTCAAGTAAAATTATTTTCGGAGCGATAACGACCTGAGCATTTAGATTACAGTTTTGAAATAAAGGAACGTAAACAATATATATACTCTTCAGCATTTAATCCTTTGCCAGAGACAAGAATCCTCAACCATTTCATTACCATGGATACCATTTAGATAGAAAAACGCTTCATTACAATTCTTTTGTTAGGTTAACTTTCCCGCCTCCTTTCTAATTTGCATGCACAGTAGCTTGGCAGGTCACGTGACTCTTAATGGGCAATCATAAAGATATTTATAAATTCACTTTCATCATCTGTTTAGGTTTTATTTAAATTCTAATCACCGATTTTTAAAACGATAAACATTACCGAAGAGTGAAGGTAGTTAAAATAATAGCGGTGTCAAGGGAAAACCGTCATTTTGAGACACTGTTTTTTTTTTTTTTGTTTTTTTTTTTTTTTTGTGAGTACGAAAGCTCAAGATGGCCGTAATAAGATTGTACAAAAAATACACCGTGAAATTCATTCAACTGTTTGCACCAAATTCAAAAGTCTGACGCGAGGAAATTGGAAGATTTTACAAGCACATCCCTAAGAGAAAACCAACGACACGGTTTTGGTAAGAGATTTCAATGCCAAATTGAGAGAAGGAAAGATGACGCATTTAGTATAGGAAGATCTGGAATAAGGAAGAGAAATGAAAAAAGGTAAAATGTTAGTTACGTTCTCGAACGCGTCCTGGGTAGGACGATAAAGTACGTCCGCCTCCTGGGTAGGACGATAAAGTACGTCCAACTGCAGGGCCTCTGATCGGGAGGATTTGAGGATCGTGGAAGCACCTCTTAATTGCTGGTGTTTCCAGGTCCACCCTGACCCGGGGTGGTAGCGCCTGTTAGGGTCCCAGCTATGGGCAAATAGTTCAAATAGTTAACCCCAAAACTTAGGTAAAAAGCATTCAAAACACTGTGAAAGTGTAAAAATAGGTTTTAATACCAGAAATACTTTGTAAAAAATTATTACCAGCAATATATTTTTGAAAACCAAAGGTTGCCAGCAATGCATTTTAAAAAAAAATATTACCAGCAATATATTTTTTAAAATAAAAAATAAAAATATATATTACCAGCTATACATTTTTTGGAAAAAAAGAAGAATATTACCAGCAATACATATTTGAAAGAAAATTATTACCAGAAATAGATTTTTTTATATAAAAAAAAAATTACTAACAATAACAATTTTGTCGACATTAAATAACCCATTGAGGTTGATATGCCGTAAAACAAAATAAACCAAACCAATCTAAACCAAAGAATACATATTCTATTCATACGAATCTATCATAAAAATGTTGTCGGCATTAAATAACCC